CTAAAGTGGTGATTTCAAAATTCTAATGCAGCGGTTCCCACACCGTCATGTGTTTCAGAGTCACTGGAGTGTTTAAAATAGTTTCCTGACCTAAAAACCTTGAACTGGTATAAAGAGTAGAATGGTGGTTACCAGAGTTTGGGGTTGGGACAAATGGGGAGATGATGTTTAAGGGCACACATTGGAGCTATTATAGGTCAGTCAGTCCTGGAGACCTGATGCACACCTTAGTGACTATAGACAACAGTGCTGTATTTTCAACTTGAAAGTTAAGAGTCCATCTTAGTTGTTCCCACTACAAAAATAAATAATTAATTAATTGATGGGATAGTGTTAGCTGCAATACATGTATCGATTCAGTAAGTTGTCTACCTTAAACTTACACAATTTATATGCCAATTACATTTCCAGATTTGCATTTCTAACAAACTCACAGGTGATGCCTGTGCTACAAGTGTGAGGGCACTTTGAGAACTAATGCTCTGACAAATCTGTTTTTAAAAATTTATTGGGGTGACATTGGTTTGTAAAATAACCAATGTAGGTTTCAAGTGTACAATTCTATAATACATCATTTGTGTATTGCATTGTGTGTTCACCACCCAGAGTTAAATCTCCTTCCATCACCATATATTTGAACCCTTTTACTACCTCCCCCCAACCTGCCTCTCCTCTGGTAACCACCGTACTACCGTACTATACTGTGGTCTGTGTCTGTGAGGGTTTTTGGTTTTTTTTTTTTAAAGAGTTTAGTATCCACCTGCTAAAAGTAAAACATGCTGGTATTTTCTTTTATGTAAAACATTTGCTCTGTGTTGTGATCATCTGAAACTAATTTTGGTAAGTATAATGGAAAAGTACATGACATGTTACAGGAAAAAATACCATCAGTGTTTCATATCGACTTCATTGCATTTATAGCAATATGAATTTAATTTCAATATAGCCAATCAGTGAAGGGTTAATGGCAGTTTTCATTTGGAGGGGATTTCAAAAATTATTTTTAAAAGCTGAATGGAATTTAAATATTAAGTGACTGAGAAATCCTGAAAGTATTTTTGTTTCTTGACTGAGAGATCACATAAATAGAAATTTATATTAAATGCTGTTCATCTAGAGACTATGAGAATGTCTTATCAACAGTGCCATTCAGGAGGATATTCATGGAAGAGATGCAGAAAGAAAGAGGGACATCAGGCTAGTCAGCCAGATCAGCTCAAACTATTCTGGTCAGCAGGGAGCTGGGCTGCTGCAGTCACGCAGTCTGTGTGGCAAACGCCAAAGCAGCCCATGTGTTCCTGTCCGTAGCGGTTGTTCCCAGGAAGGGAATTAATAAGCACAATGCTTGCACTTCGGACATAATAACCTTAGCAGCATCAGGGGTAGCATATTGATGATGATACACAGAGGAGCCGACAGTCATCCAGCACTTACTTCATGTCATTGCATTAAGTGCTTTACGTGATTAACTGATGTAACCCCCCAACACAGATGACAGTAATAACATCTCCATTTTATAGACAAGAAAATAAGGCGAAGAGTAACTCAATGTAGTTTAGGTTAGCAGGCAGCAGGTTGAAAACTGGGATTCAAACCTAGACAATTTGCCTTCGGTCTGATCTCTTGAACAATGTACATGGACTGCTTCATATTTGGAAAAATCCCAGATCAAATGTTTTCAGGATTTGTGTCTATAGTGCAGTTTAAAATGAGGTATGCGATTCATTTATGCACACTCTTTCAGTTATTATACAGGAATTCGACAATGTCTGTGTTTTAATCTTTCTGCCTGGATTTGACAAGACAATGCAAATGAGGGCGGAGAGGGAGACTGTTGGAATAGTCCATTGCAGGGAGGAGTTTTGTACCACTTACCTAGTGTGTGACTATGGCAAGTCACCAAAATAAGTTTTACTATTGATAAAAGGATGACGTTTACCCCACAAGATCAGGCAGTTAAATGAAGACTTTTCTGACAACTGAATGAGACCTGTAGGGCACTATTTGGTTGTCCAAGTGAGTGGACACTTTATGCATAATTTATGGGATTTTCAAGAATTCTGGGTTAAGTTGCAACTCTACTGTAAGCCTTGGAATGACAGCGGATGTCTTGAAAGGACCTGCCTGGGCTGTTCTGTAGCCGGGCTCCCGATGGCACACGCTAACTTCGGGGGTGGGGCGTGGGCTGTGGGGTAAATCGAGCAGTGACCCAGATCAAATAATAATTTAATCCTTACTAATAAAATTTGTGGTAGAGAGCAATGGAGTTCCAAAAGGACCGTCAGCGAGCTAGCTGGTCATCCAGCAGGTAATTTGTTCTCATTTACAAAGCGACAACCAAAAATAATTTTTGTCATCCCAACATAATGGTTCATGTTAACATCTGGTTCTGACAACAACCAGAAATAATATTTCAAGGGTTCCTAAGCACTTCATTTCAAAGTTCTATATTTACTATTTAGAGTAATTCCTTGAGACAATTATTAGGTATTATCAAATACTTTTAAAGATGAGTTCACATGTGATCAAAATAGGTAAAATAACATTAAAATGAGGAGGACTGCAGAAATACTTCTTTTTAAATGTTTTCACTGTGTAGCCTAGAGCCTAAAATCTAAGGAAGAGAATTAGAAAAAAATACAAAAGTGCAGGGAAGATAAATGAGTAATGAATTGTCTTAACTTTTATTTAATTATTTTCATTTACAGTTCTGGCACTGACACATTTTTTTTAAAAAAAGATTTTAATTTTATGTAAAGATTGAACTTCAATAAAATAACTTAAAAAACATTTACATATACATCACTAAATCTCCATAAAATATACAATACTTTTGATACAGCTATAGGCTAGAATTAAATGAAGGAAATGATACATATTCATAATTTTTAAGAGATACTCCGTATGTCACATGTAGGAATAAATATTTCTATTGGATTTGCCAAGATGTGAATATTAAACACTGTATAACATGCACTCAGAAATTAAAATAATACATTTTGAAAACATTTAAAAAGCATAAAACTGTTCTGATTTAATCTAGATATACATTAGAGCTTCTAAATAGAAATTTGAACATTATAAATAAAAGATATTATAACATAAAGTGAGATATAGTCCAAAAGCTGCTAAGAACCAATTTGGACACATATAATATAAATTTCTACTTTGGCTAGAGTTAAATCTCATCTTTTTTTAACATTTAAATGAGATGGAGTAATTTGAATATTAAAATTTGCTAAAATTTTAAAACATTACAAAATATTGGTTTTTACCTTTACTTGTATGCTCCATTTCTTTTTCTCATTTATATTGATATGACAAAATCAAACACATGAACTTAACTGTCTAAAAATAAAAATTTGAGTATTACTGCTAATGAAGGTAGGTTATTTAACATTCCATAGACCAAATCACTCAAATGCAACAGACTATTTTATACACACAAAGTAAAGATTTATAGGAGTTATATTGTTTTACGCTCACAAGCAAATTAACATAAAATTCTTTCATGTACTTCTGAATATCATTAACACTCATAAAATAGCTCTGTGATGATTATTGGCACACAAAAATTTCCTTCCCCAGGGGCAATATATAAGAGAGTTGGTAGCAGTTAGTTGTTTGGCATTTTTAAATGATTACTATTTCTAGAAAACAGCAACATTGCCCACTCAGAACACAATGTACTGACCATTGTTACACTGCTACAACCTGAATCACTTCATCTATTAGCTTAATGTTACTGTACATGAGGCTAAAAAAATTAATAGAAAGTGACAGAAAACAGGATGTTAAAATTAATCCACACAACAATTTTGAGTCTTTTTATAGGCAGCACTTACACATGAGCTGTAAATTTTATCCACAATTTAATACTTTGCTACAAAGCATATACTATGAATTCTTTGCTCCTGGCCTGGTATGTCATTCTTATATTTGTTGTTAGTGAAAAGGTCTGAATTTGGTCATTGAAAACTTGTTACAACAACGGTCAGTTATTTGATGCTTAGCATAATTTGAGATTTTATAAGTAGAAGGTTAAAGAAATCTGATGATAATAAAATGTATCACTAGTTTTATTGTTTTTAATTACTGTGCCAATGAAATAAAATCAAAACAATCCTTCCAGTCCCCTCACTGTATTACAGTATTTATATTAGTGTCATTACATTGTGAGATTTTCTTAGATAATATATGGATAGGATTTTCTAGAGTATCTTCCCCCAAGATCTATGGATTATTATAATACATTTCAGTTTTACTGAGGAAAAAGAAAAAGGGTAAGTTGTCAACTTACATTTTTCCTGTTCATTCTTCCTCTGGATAACTGATTGTGAAATTAGAGTAATTTCTAAATTCATTGCTTTAATGGATTTTCCATTTTAGAGTAAATAACTTAAAAACATATCTAGATTCATATACTTAAATTTTGTTCAGTGGTAAAATAAGGTTATTAGAAAGCACTTGATAACATTCTCATAGCATTTTCTATCAGCGAACTAACTACTCTATATGACTGGGAACAAGATTTCAAACCTTTTAAATCTAGTTTTAATTTAGATCTCTTTCATAAATATTCAACATCATGTGTTGCGCAGTTATTGACTAAAGTGCAACAATCAAAATTATTAGGAATGTTTATATTGAAGAAGAATATCAATACCAAATCCTTCTCTTACATCACCTTTAGACTTAAGTGTTCAGATGGAGATGGAAAGTTACATTCTCAAGTCTAGTGCAGATCTCGTCAGCCATCCAGCTCATAAACCTCAGTAGCGGTTACAGCTTTCTTCACTGTATTTTCCTAAAACTGAACATATATTTATTGAATTTGCAGCATGTTTAGAACCAAACCAATAATTTCAGTTAAAAGCATGATGCTTACTGTCTTTTAATATGGTAGGTTAAATTATACCACATATGTTATCCTAAAAATATATTTGATATTTCAAATGGAATGTTTTCAAGTTGATAGTGATAGCTAAAGATGCTGACAACTTAAAAGGTGCATAATAAAAAACCTTCAAAATTCAAACATTAAATTTTTAATAACTATAAATATTCACTGAGTCTAAAAATAATACCCTAATTGTATAAGGTTCCTTTTCAAGTAGTTGTTTTTTAAAAAATTATAAATAATTCTTATACTTTGCCTCTCTGTACTTAAAAGACATGGAATATTATCTTTTTATAAATAACATACAGTCCTTTAAAGGAAGGGTTGAAGAGAACTGTGGCTAATTTTCCCTGTTATTATGTGCATTTATGGATATAAAGTTGAAAACACCATTTGCTATGTCAGGGAGAACAGGCCATGTTCTGCTTTACAAAATAATAAGAGTTGAATTTCTCCTTTAATAAAGTTACCGTGCATTCAGTCCAGCTGAGTTAATGCTGTGCATATAATAAGAACTGAAGCAACTATTTAGATAAATCATAAAAATTGAGTATTTTATTGATCTAAATACTTTTCCTCCCTGTTATATTTTGATTTTAACACACAAGAGCTCCTCTGCACTTCACCTGTGTGAAATATTACACAGATAATAAATATCAATAGAATAATTTTCTCTATGAAATCACATCTGCTTTTATGGGGCAAATTAATACTAATATTCCCTTAGAAATCAATTGTCAAAGCACCTAATTCAAAGAAAACACTGTTAAATAAAATCTTTTATTTGAGGTGATTAAAGGGAGGAAACTTTTTAGTCCAGTGAAGTGACTGTTAAAGCACATATCACACCCTTGGTGACTTATGAGAATGAACCTCCTTGGCTATAGTCTCAGCTTTGACAATGTGAGAGGAACAAGCCAGACTTGAAGAGAAAACATCTTAGAGATTGGCAGGGACACACTGAATTTAGAGATAGCCACATTTTCACTCCTAAGTGTACCTTATTAGATGTTTAGAGCCATGTTAAAATGCATCAAACTTAAGCACTCTTAACTGTCCTTAGAAGAGTCATTAATAATTTCACTGGGACTAGCAGGTGATTTTGTACATACTATATAGTTCTTTAAGAGCGAAAATTAGATTTCATTGATAAAGGAACACAAAAAGCAATAAATACTTTGAAAAGACATTATAGAAATGCAGAAAGTCAACATTTCTTAAGCCATGTGTTATGTGAGAACCATTAATCTGTTCCAATAGAAAAATCCCAATTTTTAGACAAGAAGGAAAAAAATTCAAGCTAAGCATGAGTAAAAGGAAACACCCATGGCAAATCTATGTATTTTTGTTCAGTGGGGAGAGTGTGGGGAGTAAATTTTCAGGGAAACTGAGAAAAGATGTGCAAAATGAAAACCGTTTATGGTCTTAGAGTAACAAAAGGCAAGTACTATTAAGTAAAAAATGAGACAATTTTTTAGGAAGATTACCATATCTTGCTGTATATAATGTGCACCTTTTTACCCATATTTTTGAAGGAGGTAACAGGATGAGCATTATACATGGTTAGGACTAATTCCGTATCTATATAAATGCTTTTAACTTTTATTTATGCTTATGCATTAAAAGTATAACTCTAGAAAGTAATAATATCCATAGGCAAAATAATACCCTGGAATACAATAATCAGTTTTGTTTCTAAATATAAATAAAGTTGACTTAAAAAATTAGATTTTTTTCTGGAAAGTTTGGACCAAAAACATGGGTGTACATTATACATGGGAGCGCATTATACATGGCAAAATATGGATATAAGTTAAAAAATCAAAAGTTAAATTAAGTTAAAAATAAGTCCCACTATTTAATTAAACAAATACCAATAATAGTAGGATTTTTTTGGTCACTGATTATCTGCCTTTTTTGTTCCAGAAATTACTTGAATAAAAAAGAGGAAAGTAGCCTGCTATTTATAATAACACATTTATAGTAACACAAATGAAGGCACAAATAGTAGGACTCAAGGGGTTGATTAGCAAAGGCGTGGTGTATATCAGGTGATTTTGGCATGAACAAAAACTGACCCTGAAATGCAGCTCAAGATCTAGTGCTATTTTTTATAGTTGCATACCTAAGTGAGTAACTCAATTGGGGATCCATAAAAAATCTTTTCTTTTACTTTCTAGCAGTAAAATATACTTATCAAAACTTGCTAGCTTATCTCTGCAAATGTACACTTATCACTGATGCAAAAAATATGTATGAAAATATACCCTAAAAGACCTGCTTTTCATAATGTTCAAAAGATTCTGTGCAGAGTCAGTTTCTGAAGAACTCTCAAGATTGGAATTGGAGAGAGAAACCAAAATGTGGAATCCAAAGGAGATAAGACAGCTGTGCCCTCATAGGAGGCACTTTTAGTTTTTGAAAACTTGAATGGGATTTACTTTCTAACAGCTGATCCAGATACGATACTTGTCCTTAGGAAAATTTAGGGCCAGTAGGCCATGTTTTGATCGACAACAATCGTTAGTCCATATCCTAGAATCCTTCTTTATATCATACATACATGATTCAGTTAGATTAGCACTGACTTAATTGCCACTAATAATTATATATGGTCTTAGGATAAACAGATACCACTGAAGTCACTGGGTACAATAACTCATTTTAGACTATCTCAGGAAGGAATTACACAATTTGCTCAATAATTCTTATTTTGAAAGCTTGGTAGATTTTTTCTTTTTACATTTATGCTTATGAAAAAAGAATGTCAACATGATTGTATCTTCCTCCTAATCAAAGATTCTAGAATATGAAGTCATTCAAAACTAGACTGTGGAAAGAACCAGATTAGAAGCAGGGCAGTGAGGTCACCAATTGCTGCTCTTTTCTCCCAGGTTTTTAAAAATAACTACAGATATCAGAAGTTGAAAATTATTCCACATCAGAAGCATCGTTGTCAGAAAGATGGTAGTTACTCCCCTTTACCCGAATATATTCAATGTATCTCCCTTCATCGGAATCTGAAGCGCCACATGTACATAGCCTGTTGTCAAAGAGTGATTCAATTTCCTCTAATTTTTTCCCTTTGGTCTCAGGAAGACAGCCATAGATGAAAAGGAGTCCTACAGCAGCAAATCCAGCATACAAGAAGAAGGCTCCTGTGATAGAAAATAATGTACAGTAAGTCCTCACTTAATGTCATCAATAGGTTGTTGGAACTGAGGTAAAATCATGTGTGGTTGATTCTTGAACAACGTGGGGGTTAGGAGACTCTGCTTCATGTGCATATAACTTTTGCCTCCCCCCAAACTTCACTGATAGCCCAGTGTTGACTAGAAACTTTACCATTAACACAGTTGATGGTAAACATGAACATATTTTATATGTTGTATGTATTATATACTGTTTTCTTACAATAAGGGAGCTAGAAAAAGATAAAATTATGAGACAAAACATTTACAGTACTGTATTTATTGCAAAAAAAATAGCTGTGTATAAGTGGAGCTGTGCAGTTCAAATTGTGTTGTTCAAAGGTTAACTGTATCAAAACCAATTTTACCAAAGTCTAATTGATATAAACAAAAGGCATTTCATCAATGTTATAACAAAACAATGTTGAATGCAATGAAGTTACTCTAGACCTTGCTGTGTGTGTGTGTTACATGCCTAGTTTAGAGAGAGTACTTAATTTTTACCTTTCTTTCTGGTCAATCATGCATAACTGTGGTCTGAAATGGAACCGAAAAGTTACTGCCAGCCTGGTTACTCTAATTGTCCTAACCCCGTGAATATAATGCAATTTAGTTTTCTAGTCATATAATGCCAAACTCAAGAAGAAGGGTAGAGCAGGCTCATATGTAACTTCTGCTTTTAGGTTTTCCCTCACTTCCCTGGCTAGAGATAACTATTTCTCTCCTATGTGCTTTCATAGTGCTTTGCTGAGGCACCGTATCATAATAACCAGGAAGTATCATAATTATGTGCATGTATTTGTTTATCTTACCTGCTAGACTGGAGTACTCTAGGGAGAAATCTCATTGTCATTTATCTTGTACTTTCACAATGACATAAAATGATGACACTGCTGATTTCATGACTTAATGGAGTACAAGGCAACTCCATCCTTCCACTCTCTCATGCCCAAAGTCTGGGGGTCAACCTTGACTTTCTCCTTACTCTCCCCTTCAGTATCCAATCTGTTAGGAGATCCCATCGAATCTACTTTCAAATGTAACTTGAGAGATGGCACTTCTTACTGTTGCACTGACACCAACCTCCCTCATTGCACTACTGCAATAGTCTCCTGACTAGTATCCTTGCTCCTGCTGTTAGACCACTCTAGTCTTTTGAGGTTCACAGAATTTATCAGCATCTGATATAAAGCTTATTTTTTTATTATTTTTTTTCTGGTATAGTTAAAAGTTGTTTTTTTTTAATACTCATTTCAGTTGACTATGTTAGTTTCAAGTATACAACCTAATGATTAGACATTTATACAACTTATGGAGTGATCAACCCATTAAATCTAGTATGCTACTGGCATCATACATAATTATTACAATATTATTGACAAAGTTTTCTATGCTGTGCTTTATATTCCTATGACTTTTTACAACTACCAATTTGTACTTCTTAATCCCTCCACTTTTTTGACCTATCTGCCCACCCCCCATGCCCTCAGCCTCGCAATCTGGCAAGCATCATTTGTTCTCTGAATCTGAGAGTCAGTTTCTGTTTTGTTCATTATTTTGTTTTTTACGTTCCACTAAGAAGTGAAATTATATGATATTTTTACTTCTCTGTCTGACATTTCAATTAGCATAATACCCCTTAGGTCCATTCATGATGTTGTAAATGGCAAGATTTCATTATTTTTTATGGCTAAGTAATACTATACTCCATTTCATGGCTATGGTAAATAATGTTGCAATGAAGTGGAATTGTTGGGTTATAAAGTAGTTGTATGTTAACTTTTTTTTTTTTGAGGAACCTCCACACTGTTTTCCACAGTGGCAGCACTAATTAACAATTCTACCAGCAGTGTATGGGGTTTCTCTTTTATCCACATCCTTGCCAACACATTGCTGTTTGATTCATGATGGCCATTCTGAAAGGTATGAAGTGACAGCTCATTGTCATTTTAATTTGAAATCCCTGATGATTTGTGCCATTGAGCATCTTTTCATGTGTCTTTCTGTCACCTGTATGTCCTCTTTTGAGAAATGACTCAAAAATAGACTGAGAGAGAAGTCCTCTGCCTATTTTTTAATGGTATTTTTTTTGTGTGAGTTTCATATATATTGGGTATTAACCCCATGTAGGATGTTATCACTGTCAAATATCTTTGTCTATTCATTTTTGTTGATGGTTTCCTTCACTGTGCAAAAACTGTTTAGTTTGATGTAGTCCCATTTGTTTATTTTTTATTTTAACTTGCCTGGGGAGACATGTCTAAAAGATACGCTAAGAGCAATGTCAGGGAGTTTACTGATTGTGTTTTTAGAAATTTTATAGTTTTGGTTCATATATGTAAATCTTTAATCTACTTGAGTTAATTCTTGTAAGAATATGATCCAGTTTCATTTTCCTGCATATGTTTGTCCAGTTTTCCCAATGCCATTTATTAAAGAGACTGTTTTTATCCCATTGTATATTGTTGCCTACTTTGTCATAGAGTAATTGACCCTAAGCATGGGTTTTTTCCTAGGTTTTCTGTTGTGTTTCATTGAGCTATGTGTCTGTTGTTATGCCAGTACCATGCTGTTTTGATTACTGTAGCCTTGTAGTATAGTTTGATATCAGGTAGCATGATTACCTCCAGCTTTGTTGTTCTTTTTTTTTTTTTTTTTTTTCCCAAGACTGCTTTCTATATTTGAGACCTCTTGTGGTCCATATAAATTTTAGGATTATTTGTTCTAGCTTTGGGAAAAATGCCATTGGCATTTTGTAGGGATTGCATTGAATGTGAAGATTATTTAGGTAGTATGAACATTTTAATGATGTTAATTCTTCCTATCCATGAGCATGGTATACCCTTCCATTTATTTTTGTCCTCTTCAGTTTCTTACAGTTTTCAGAGTACAAGTCTTTGACCTCCTTAGTTAAATTCATTCTTAGGTATTTTATTCTTTTTGATGCAATGGTAAATGGGATTGTTTTATTTTTTCCTTCTGATGGTTCATTCTTTGTGTATAGAAAAACTGTAAAACATTGAAGAGGACACAAATAGAAGGCTATACTGTGCTCATGGACTTAGAAGGATTAACATTGTTAAAATGACCATATGACCCAAAGCAATCTACAAATTCAGTGCAATTTCTATCAAAATACCAATGATATTTCATCACAGAGCTAGAACACATAATCCTAAAGTTTATATGGAACCACAAAAAGACCATAAATAACCAAAGCAATCTTGAAAAAGAACAAAACCGGAGGTATAACACTCCCTGATTTCAAACTATACTACAAAGCTATAATAAAACAGGATGGTACTGACATAAAAGCAGACACATGAATCAATGAAACAGAATAACCCAGAAATAAATCCTCTCTTAGAGTGAACTACTTTACAATGAAAATGTAAGCATATAGAAATGATAGTCTCTTCAACAAGTGGGTCTTGGGAAAACTGGACAGATAACATGTAAAAAAAAAAAATCTGGACCACTCTCTTAAACCATATACAACAATAAACTCAAAATGAGTTAAAAATTTAAACTTAAGCCTGGAAACCATAAAACACCTAGAAGAAAACATTAGTGTAAACTATTTGATACTATTCTGAGTAATCATTTTTGGATATGTGCCCTTGAGGAAGGGAAACAAAAGCAAAAATAAACAAATGAGACTTCTACAAACTACAGTTTTCTGCATAGCGAAGGAAACCATCAACAAAACAAAAAGACAACCTACTGAATGGGAGAATGTATTTGCAAGTGATATATTCAGTAAGAAGTTGCCATTCAAAAAATATGAGAAACTCATGATTCAATAACAAAGAAAAAAACACTCCGATCAATAAATGAACAGAGGCCATGAGAAGACATTTTTTCAAAGAAGACATACAGGTGGCCAACAGACATTATTGGAAAGTTGCTCAATGTCACTAATCATCAGGGAAATGGACACATCAAAAACCACAATGAAGTGCCACCTCATACCAGTCAGAATGGCTATTATTGAAAAGTAAAAAGATAACATGTGTTGGCAAGGATGTGGAGAAAAGGGAGCCTTCATGCACTGTTCATAGGACTGCAAATTGGTGCAGCCACTATGGAAAACAGTATGGCGATGCCTCAAAAAACTAAAAATTAGATATACTATATGACTCAGCAATTCTACTTCTGAGTATTTATCTGAAGAAATCCAAAATACTAATTCGAAAAGATACACGCACTCCTGTGTTCACTGCAGTCTTACTTAGAATAGCCATATGGAAGAAATCTAGGTGTCCACCAATAGATGTATGGAGAAAGAACATGTGGTACATATATACACACACAGTGGAATATTACAGTGCAGTTAAAAAGAATGAAATCTTGCCATTTGCGACAACATGGGTGGATCCAGAGGGTATTATGCTCAGTGAAATAACCAGAGAAATTCAAATACCATATGGTTTCATTTATATGTGGGATATAAAAAAAACCAAACGGACAAACACAAGAAAAAAGAGACTGATAGACTAAAGGGATGGTTACTACAAAGGAGGGAGTGAGGAGATTGGTGAAGGGAAATGTAGTTAATGATATTATAATGTTGCACGGTGAAGATGATTACTAGAATTAGTGGGATGATTACACTGTAAGGTATAAAAATGCTGAATCACTATACTGTACACCTGACACTAATATAACTAATTTACTGAATATTTACTTAAATAAAAAGAATAGAAATAATGTATGTTGCATGCCTATTAGAATTTTGGATACTAGTTGCTCAAAAAAGTGATAGTACTATTAAATTCTACTAAATGACAAGGGAAGAAGAACTGCTGTTAGAAATAGAACAAGATTAGGATGACTAATAAATTGGAAATGTTTTCATCAAAAGGGTGACACTGACAATCTAGTCCTTGGAGACTGGGAATTTTGAGAGGAAAAAGATGAAAGATGAAATCCTGTGTTCCGATTAGAGATAATCAAAACTGTGGATGTAAGAAGAGAAATGGACTCTTTAATGGAGAGGGACAAAGGAAGGGTGGTAATCACGGTGATGATAATACAGGAATATGTAAGTGCAGGTGATAACATTTTAGATTAAATCAGGCTAATAAACTCCTTTAACAGAGTAAACCTAGTTTGGCTTTATAAGGTGTACTATTGAGGAAATACCTATCATCTTGCCCAATTTAGCAGTGGCATGATTAGAAGCAACTGATCACATTTGTCAGTGCTAAAACAATTTGATGGTTGGGAAGATTCTTGACAGCCACAGAGCTTTTGGCTTCTGACCCGGATTCCAAAAGCCAACTAATAATCGAGGAAGTTCTAGTAAGCTACAAGGTCCTATAGTAGTAACTGAGGAATTTAAAGCAGACAAATACCAAAAGTGCCTCCGTGGCCTTCACTGGTGAGACATGGGGGTAAACAAGAGGTGGGGGGAGGCCCAGGAGGCTGGACCTGCTGCGTGTAATGGGCTAATCAGTTATGTAACTATCATAACTATTCCCTCTCGGAATGAAAACGAAGAAAGAAATGTCTGTCCTTAGCCAGGCAGGATTGTTAAACAATGCAGATATTCCTCAGCTTTATTCTGAAGGAAATAAATTTTATTAGAGTCCTATATTAAGTTCCATATTAAAATAAACATGTAATTGAATTATACAAAATGAGGACTCACAGATCATGTCTGATTGTAATGCTCTCCAGGGCATCTATTTCATCACACATGATATAGATAAAATGGTATGTGGTGACATTTTAACAGTTTTGAGTAGTCAACATTACTGAAGAGTTGAAAGGAAGCCTAAGGAGTCTAGTTTCAGAAGGAATAGAAATGTGAGGTTTCATGAAATTAAAAAGAAATAAAAAGATGTATTTCCTGAGACATACAGCAATATGGTAATGTGTTCATTAAATCAGGAATACAAGTATGTACCATATAAATTATAACATGTAGACTAAAATGGAGATCAAAAACCAGGGGAAAAACTAGCCTGACCTGAAATATTGTCCCATTAGTAGCCAGCAGTAGACCCAACGGACCAGTGTGTTGACCTGACAGAAACTTCACTTCATGCAAAGCAAAAAGCTGCTGCTAACTGCATCGTTTTGAAAGAAGCCTCGCTGTGCCCTATTTAAAATTTACTTCTGTTGCCTCATGTTTTTCTGGCAGCATAAATTCAAGAAAGAGGAGCTTTGCTTCAAAAGTCTTACTGTGACTTTTATTATTTGGTCTATCCCTTTTGATAAAAAATGCTCTCTCAGGATACCAGTCTACACTTTAGTTTTCAAATGTTAAGCATTCTCAACAATCAGCAAAAATGGGTAATTACTTATTGTATTAATGTTTCTCACTATTCTAAATGGTGACTGAGTTTTATAAAGACAAAATTTTAGATAAATGTTATATAAAACTAAATAATTCAGCATGTTTCAAACAGAAGGAATAGGTTTTTATAGTGTTTCTCTTACTCACCATTTATCCACAAAATTCACCTGTGTATTATTCAGCACTTTGATCAACACTTTGAGAGCTTATCAAGGGACTGGGAATATAATGGTAAACAAGGCCTCGTCCTGGCCTGAGCTCAAGGGATTTATGGTCCGGTAGGGAGGGGTAGGAGCGCTTACAATTGAAGCTGTTCTTGCAAAAAGAAATTCATGGATGCGGTGAGCGATGTGGGAGGGAATCGGAGAACAGTCTGAGCAGGAGGCCTTCCATATACACCACAGAGGCTTATCATTTAGAATCTAACCACAACTTATAAACTCATACAATGAAGAAATCCTCTTGCTGAAAAGACAGTCTTTTCACTTTAGTAAAAATGGACTTGAAGTAGCTTCCCAAAGGTTTCCCCTAACTCAGCCACTTCCCCATATTATTTCTTTGAGTTGCGGTCTCCACACATTTGAACATTTCTGACATGTGTACAGCTCTGGCAGTGTAAGAGCTGGTCTCCCTGACACCGAAATGCACACGCCCTGCCCTAACAGCATGGATGGAAGAGTGGGTGGCGCAGCTCACAGCATGGCATTTGGGGAGCTACCTTCAGCTGCACTCTGATTCTGCTCTTTGACAGGATGTCTCCATCCCTGTCTTGGGGCATCTTCAAGCATTGGCCCCGGATGCCCTGCCTCCACCTTTCTACCATTCTCTGTTATGTTTCATCACTAAACTAACTGTGCTGTGAAGATTTCCAACCAGGGAGACAGCTGGCAATGGCTGTGGTGGGAAAGTAGAAGCTATAAAGCCCTGGGGCACAAGGAGCAATGCTGCTTCGGAAGGGTCATTTCCTCTGACCTTTCCCCAGGTACATTCCCAAGGACTTGGGGGAACAAGAAAGCCACACAGGAATGTTTATAACAGCAAAAATATAATAATACAGTCTTTCAATCACAAATGATAGCATATCTAAAAATAAGTAGGAAAAGTAAAAATAAAATATACTTGAAAAAAAAAAATCCTCTTACCATAGTATGTAAGATACTCTGCTGTGTGTAAAAATGTCAGTGAAACCAGAACATTGAAAATCCAATTTATTCCAGATGAACATGCATTTCCTGTACTTCTTGCCCAAAGGGGATATATTTCAGAATTCACAGTCCAAGGCATCGGTCCCATTCCTGAGAAATATGAAATTAAAAATTTCAGTAAAGCTGCATGCAAGGAATTTTAAAAAGAGTAGCTTGTCTTCTCTATGAAGAGACAATTTAATACGATAACAGCGAAGGCTTGATTACCAGGTGCGAAGAAAACAAGGTATAAAATAAGGCCCAGAAGTGCAGTCCAAGAGTATGGAGTAGGGCAGAAATTGTAAGCCCAAAATACTTCCTCTGTTTTGAATTTGGTTTCATTTTCACACCTGAAAAATAAGGCAATATAAATATTAACTTAGTGTTTTAGAATATAGTTGCAGAAATTCAATGTGCTCATCTAGGACACATCTGAAAGTTCCTTAACATCATTAAAGTAAAGGGTCCAAATGTTTTTCTTGAAAAAAAAAATTAGGGTTTAAATATACAGGATTAGATATGCCTACTCATATAAAATTTTTAAAGGTGAATATAATTCAAGAGAAGCATGTAGAAATACTCAGTGCATACAACTCATAACAAAAAAAAAGATCCATAAAAAATGGGCAGAGGATTTGAAATGCATTTTTCAAAAGACATATTGATGGCCAGCAGGCACATAAAAAGGTGCTCAACATCACTAATCATCAGGGAAATACAAGTCAAAGCCACAGTGAGATATCACCTCACACCTATTAGAATGACTGTCATAAAAAAGACAGGTGTGTAGACAGAGCTGACTTCATTTTAAAAAGCTGACTCCATTTAAAAACTAATTACAATACTTGAATCCTCGTGCACTCCCCCCCCCTTCCCCTGGGGTTGACTCTGGAATATGAACAAAGGTTTCAGGTTAATCACCAACTGCCATTAATCTTTCCTCTGGGGCAAGGCACCCTCAACGTGTGACCTGCCGTGACGTCAGAGCCCCAGTATCTGGTCCTTTTGTTCAGCTCCATCACCCTCCCTGTATTCCTATCCAAATATGTAGGTCCATTTCTTGGAGGGAATGGTCTGGGGGTTGAACAGTGCGAGGACTCATTTTCTGTCCTGCTGCTCCCCAAGATGGTGTTTCCTTGACTAAGTTCCCTATTAAAACTTTAAACTCACAAGCTGGACTTGTCTGTGTTGTATTTTGGCCTCTCCATCCATTCCTTTGGCATTTGGGAGTCTCTTTGCGTACGTGGCCTTTGTGTGAAAGAAGGAATAAAGGTACCCACAAGGATGTGAACAAAAGGGGACCCTTTGTGCACTGTTGGTGGGAATGTAAATTGGTTCAGCCACTATGGAAAACAGAACAGAATGACTATTCCTCGAAGAATTAAAAATAGAACTACCATATGATCTAGCAAACCCACTTCTGGGCATTTATCTAAAGAAAACAAATACACTAACTGAAGAAGATCTCTGCGCCCGCATGTTCACTGTAGCACATTTAAAATAGCCAATACATGGAAGCAACCTAAGTGGCTATTGATAGATGAATGGATAAAGAAAGTGTATACACACACTGTAATATTCCATAAAAAGGACATCTTGCCATTTATGACAACACAGGTCCACCTTACAGACATCACACTAAGTGGCATAAGTCTAACAGAAAAAGACAAACACCATATGATGTCACTTAAATATGCAATACTAAAACAAAACAAAAGCCAACAAGAAAAATTGAGTTCATAGATACAGAGAACAGACTGGTAAGTTACCAGGGTGGGAGGTAGGTAAAATAGGCCGAACAGTACAACCTTCCCATTATAAAAGAAGTCACAGGGGTGCAACATGCAGCATGGGGACTAGAGATAAGAATTCCATATCGCATCTTCGAAAGCTGCTGAGAGCGCTTAAAATTTGTCATCACAAGAAAAAAACCCCCTGTAACTATGGTGATGGATATTAACTAGACTTATTGTGATCATTTTGCAATGTAAGCAAATATTGAATCATGTTGCATACCTGAAACTAATATGTCAATTATACTCAAAAAAATAAAAAAATATATTGTTTCATACCTATGCCATGTAAGTCAGACATGATTTCCAGTTAGTCCTTAAGAGCTGCAGTAACACTTAAAGACCACAGAGAGTTAGTGTGTTGTGGTAGAAAGACTAGATTTTGCAGTCAGGACAAGATTCACATTCCAGAACCAGATTTTTTTTTTTTTCTTTATCTGTAAAGGTCACCTGTAAAGGGGTGACAGGGTAGATGAGGGCAAGGAACCAATCTGACATCTGATTCCAACTAGCTCCTTCCCTTTCTGCTGTGTGTCCCTGCTCCGCTCAGCCACTTGCTGCTGACTTTGCCTCCTAGTTCCATGGTGAAGCAAACTCTCCTATGGTCTTAGGTTGATTCTGAAGGTGAACTTCCAATTCTTAAGACACAATCAGCCCCCAAAACATTTGTATTCCTTACTGTCATCTTAAGACTATTCTGCCCCCATCAGCCTGTACTTTTGAACCTTGACATCTAAGCCCTGTTCTTATTGCCGTGTTTCTGACCTGTATCTGAATACCCCGCCTGTCTTGTGACTTAGGTGTCTGGTCTGCCATCATCTCCACCTCCTCTCATTCATTTATTTTTACTTCTGGCCCATACCTTGGCTTCATAGTTCCTTATTTAACCTCTGAAACTGCAGAGAGGGAACATTATAATGTGCTTGATTTGGAACTATTTGACTTCAAGGTCTTAGACTTTTCTGATTACAGGTCCTACTTCCTTATTTCTGGCAACTTTACTCCCAAATCAGTCTTTATAATTTTTTTTTTATCTTCACCCGAGGATATGTTTTCACTGATTTTTTTTTTTTTTAAGAGAGAGAAACATTGATCAGTTGCCTCCCATATGCACCTCAACTGGGGATGGAACTTGCAACTTAGGTTTGCGTCCTGACAGGAAATTGCACCCGTGACTTTTTGGTGTACAGGAAGACACTAACCAACTGACTTTCCCAGCCAGGGCCCAAATCACAGTCTTTAGATTCTAACTCTTCCCTGTGTTCGTTCATCTCATTGCTTAGCTTATTAGACCATGCAAATATTGTCTTTGCTGGCCTCCAGAATCCATGCTTGTCTGCCTTTCTCACCATTTCAGGTCCCAACCCGGTGCAGCACCATTAACTTCTTTCAATAACTGCTCTTGAGAAGCTGGGCAAAATTATGAAACCACGTTGCTGGGTTCTATTACACGTTCATACTATTTCTTCTCAGTTGAGTGCCAAATTATGGGTTTTTTTTCCTTTTTATCCTTTTCTGTCTTCTCTACTAAATTCTCTGCTTATTCAGAGTAGGCATTTAATAAACGCTTTTATTAATTATGTCAACTCTTGACATAATTAAAATATTTCTTACTATTCTCCAGTCCTGAAATCTTTCCTTCTGCTTTCTAGGTACTAAGAACTTGCCTCCTTCTTAAAAAAGAAAAATAAGATAAAAAAAAAAAAATAAAGGGCACTCATTTTTTTTTCTGCTGAACCTCTACTTTACTTTCTTCAGACTCTTCTCCTACCTCCATTGTACCATGTTTCTCGCCCTTTCTCAGAACTGCCCTTCCTATTACTGGTCCTGTATCCCGTTCTCCTTTTGTCTGCTCAATAGGCTATTCTCTTTCTGCCACCTTTAGTTTTTTCCTACTTGAGTCTTCCCTTTTGGTTATTTGCATAGGAGTGATCCTGTGTGTTGTAATCAACCCTCTCATATTACCACTAATAGCTTGTCCAAAATCTCTAGAGAAGTTTATACTAGTGAGCTCTACAGCCTCATCACCCAATCATTTCTTCACAGCCCAGCTTCCCCACCCACAGGATACTCAGGCTGTTTTCTTCAATCTGCTCATCTGAAAGTCATCAACGACCTTCAAATCCTCCCATTCATGTATCTTGCCTTAATTTTGAGGCTCTCTGATTACTCTGCAGTGGTTGATATTGCTGACAACCCTCTTCTTTCTCTTCTGCTTTTACATTTTTATCTCCATCTTATTTCTCTGATGTATATATCTTCATTGCTTTTTAAAAATGCCTCTTCCTCTCCTCAAACTCTAAATACAGGGGTTCTGTAAGGTTTTATTTTAGGGTTTATAGCTTCTCTCAATTATCTCATTTCATTTTAAGGCTCATTTTAAGGCTTTTTAATCTCCACATGGATGCTCCCCGGTAGGTTATTCTAGCCTTGACCAGTTTCTCAAGCTCCGTTGATAGAATTTAGGTATCTGCTGAACAAACACCTAAATGTCCTGGTATAGCCTCAGAAATACTAGCGCTACCATGGAATGCATTCTTTTCTTCAGGAGATAAGAGTTGTGCTGTTGTGAGTTTAAATCATGACTCTAAAATTTATGTGCCAGACACTATAGATCAACTGCATTTGTGGAAACTAGACTTTAGTGGGCACTGGCACAGTCCTGTTTCCTGATCTGGAAAATAGGGAAAAGAATTATCATCACAGGCTGTTGGGAATGTTACATGTATACAATGTATAATGAGTGCTTAGCACATGTAGTGTACACACAGTATGTATTACTTTAATAGTGTCGGTCAAGAAATTTCTATTTTTAGTTAACACCCCCATTCCCTGAGTTGAAACGGATTAAAATCTCAGAGTTATTTTCAGCGGTTTGTTACTCTTTTGTGTTTGAATCCTCTGTATTTTTTAAGTCCAAGGAAAGAAAAATGGCTAAGATTTAAGCTCTGGGACTGACATCTTGTGTTCAAACCTAGGCTGAGTCCCCAGGTTTGAAGCTAGGATGTATGTTATACAGGCACGTAACTTCTCAAAGCCTGTGTCCTCATCTGTGAAAGGATTTTCTGGGCACCTATCTCAAAAGAGGTATTTCGAGGCTTACATGAGATGTGGTAGGTAAGAACTTAACGTGGTACAGACAAGCAGTCCTAGCTCCTAGATATAATCCTGCAATCTGAGTCTTCCTTTCTATTTGCATCACTAACACCCTAATTGAGACTACTGACTGGGGTGTCAACTGCATGTCTCTGTGGCAAGTTCACTAGAGCAGCCCCTCTGTGATCCATGTTTCCTTACGTACACGGTCTTGTACAGTCCTGCCCCCTGGGTGTGGGAGTGACCCGTGACTTGCTTCTAACAGAATGTGGCAAAAGTGACAGGACATAGGTGATTCAGTATGTAGGATTACAGTTTAGCTGAAGCCTCTGACTCCCTGGCTTGCTTTGAAAAAAAAACAGGCTGTCATGTTGTGGGATCCCAGTGTTGGGATGCTCATGGAAGGAACTGAGAAGCCTTCAGCAAGAAATGGAAATCCTTGCTATGAAAGTTACCGAATT